AGGGTGTCCCATTTAAAATAACGAAGTTGATGTCAACTTTCGGTATAACCGCAAAAGCCATTTTTTTTAATCGTAGTAGTTTCCAAAATATTTAATAGGGAGTCACCGTGAGACAACCTGTATATATCTATGTATCTTAATTAGTTTGACAAATTGTACAACACACTTCATCATCATCATAAGGTCGTCAGTCCTAAGACTGGTTGGACATGTACCTCCACTCTTTCCTATCCTGAGCTAATCTTCGCATTTCCCTAAAACTAGAACAACCTACATCCTTAACTATTTGCGAACAGTAATCTAATATAGGTCTACCTCTACCCCTCTAATATGTCTCTGTCTAGACCTTCATGCATGAAAAGATGTCCTTCCAACCTATCTCGCCTATTTCTTATTGACCTCAAAGGAGTCCTCTGTTCTCATATTCTTTCTAACACCTCTTCATTTCTAACCTTCTCTATCTACGGTATCCTCATCATTTGCCTGTAAAATTCCTAAATTACCGAAAATTTCAGGGAACTCGGATTATGATCAAATCCGGATTGGACTTTTCGTAATACGGTCATCTAATCAGTTCCTGATCAGAGTACAGTACTCTATCCGTTGATCTGATCACCTGATCAGGAACTGATTAGCGTACAGTATCCTTTCCTTCGATCCGTCTATCTGATCAGTTCCTGATCAAAGTACAGTAGCCTATCCCTTGATCAATCATCTAATCAGTTCCTTATCAGAATCTAATACTAGGAATCTTATTACAGTTTCGGTATGTTGTTTAAAGCAAAATTGTATCCGACGTTCTGAACTGGATCATAATACAGAATTTAGTTTTTTATCTGATCCATTTTGGATGTAAAATNACATTGGTTGTTTCAGTAGGACCAAACTGAACTTATTTCTTAGACAATCTGCAGAAATGGACGAAAAAAATTTATTAATTGCACTATTAATTAAGGAAAGAACAAAACAATCTAAAAAGAAACACCAAACAGCAACCAAAATAGCTGAATTAAAATAAAATGGCGACACGTCGATTTACATCATGACATCACTAAATGTCAATCATAGATGTACGTTGCACGATGCCAATTTATGATGCGTACAATAGACATATAGAGATTAAATACCGTTAGATACACGTTAACCTCGATTTAAACAGTGAATCATAGATAATTGGTAAGACCAATAACCCATAAGATTAATTAAGCCTTTTAATATTGTCGTACAATCTCACCTTAATTAAGTAACTGCAGAAAGTAGCGTTCTAAAGTCCATAAGTGCAATGAGCAAGCCAAGTCCAAGAGGAATACCACTGCAGGCATTCTGTTGTTTCAGTCATCTCCAAATTAATTTCCACTTAACTCCTACTCCATAATGTTGTAAGGTGAAGACATCAAAAGCAATTCCTTCTCTTTTGTAGTACAATCTACAGAAACGGGCAATAAAAATTATTTACTACTTTTAAAAGCAAATAAATTGGGAACATTTTCACAATGATGGAAATGTCAGTACCACGTTAATTCTGCTGTTCTGTGAAACAAGTGTTTAAAAAGATCCATTGAAAGTCTAAAAAATTGAAGTTTCTGGGACCTCATTTACTGTTTTTAATTGATACTGTTTCTTACCAGTACATTAATCATCACAAATCCTTCCATTAGCAACGGCACACTTGTTCCATTATCAACGGGGAAAAGAACACTTTCATGCTTTTTCTGGGACCGTAGGTGCAGCTGCTTACTACAACGACTGAAGACTGATTCAATTAATGCTCTATAATTTAATGGCATCCCAAGTTTTTATAATGTTCCTGTAAAAAGAAATCTTATATGAGTATTCAGATATAATTAATTCAGCCTCCCTATTAAATAACATGCATAATACAATGTTAAAGTTATCAAATAAATATATACCTAAATTTATTACAAGATTCTCACAGCAGACAAACTTGCTTTTTCAGTAGCATCAAAATGAACACTTCCACTTTTATTTATCGTCAATCTGTAAAAATTGAGAAGAAAAACAAATAAATTACATCATAAAACAATAAAAACATGAAATGCAAGGAAGATACCCACCCACAAACAAATGAAATTACAAAATTTTAAAAAAAATGGCGACGTAGCAACGATTTTAATACAAAATGGCAAGATGAACGAAATGCATAAAATAAAATTCAACATTTAATAGTATTCTTCTTCACTTCCACAGAAATATCAATCGATGTTTTCTTTGAATTTTCATTCTCTATGAATTCCCATGAGAAAATTAACAAATGTAGTGGCGCTATAAACGCCAATTGGTTCTTTTCGGAAAAAAACTAGATACGCTGAAAGTTAGTAATACATGGAACTCTAACAAAATATGGAGTAGTTCGACATTCTATTACAAAAAGAATTAATTTATGTTCGACACCCTACGTACAATGTTGCAGGAAGTCTTTTGGTACAAAAATTGGAAGCAAATTAATAACATGCAACTAACATTAATTACACTATATATTCTCACCTTGATGAACTGCAGACTCTAACGTTCTGAACTTCACACATGCAAAAGACAAAACCAATGCAGATTTTACTTATTGTCACTTCTAGGGTCAAAATTAGCAACCACTTCTCATTTGTTTGTCAATCTGTAGAAATAAACAACAATATTAAAGCGACTAAAACAGTAACATTTTAAAGTGGCAATGTAGTAGTGAAGTTAAGAGACAATTGAAAGTAAAAATAATGGATATGCAACTTATTAATGTACCGTTTCTTAATAATCAAAATAAACATTTTCTCTTGAAGTTCTGGGACCTCGCTTACGACTTTTATCTTTAATTGATACTGACTGTTACCTACCAGTTCACTGTTATAAATCTTTCCTTTAGCAACGCACACTATTTCCGTTCCAATGAAAAAATGCACGTTCATGAATTCATTAGGACCGTACGTACACCTACTTCCTCGAGCGAATGCGGAATTGATGCCATCCAGGTTTTTTCAGTGTTCCTGACAAATGAAATCTTATTTAAGAGTATTCAGATATAATTAGTTTAACCTCCGCAATAAATAACGTGCATTAATACAATATTAAAATTAATATCAGATAAATATACCAAGTACTTATATATTATAACACGAATCCTCACCTTAATTAACTACAAGATCCTCCAAAATGAAAAGAACACCATGACAAAAAACGAGACAACTTGCTCTTTCAGTTGCTATAAAATGAACACTCGTCCACTGTTAATTATCTTCAATTTGTAAAAATAGAGAAGAAAAAATAATAAACTATACAATTAA